CATGAATTTCTGAGCTCGTGTCACCTAAATTCCAGTGATGACGTGTCCAAAGGCATAGGGAACTTTCCCTAAGTACTCCCAAGCAGGCACAGGTTTCCCAACAACTGGAGGGCACCGGAGTTGCTGCAAAATCCCTCCTACACCCAAGGCTGCCTGCCGGTTGAAGGTTAAAAATCTCTGAGGGAGAGGGCAGGTGTGTCACCTCTGCCTGGCTTTCGGGATCCTATTCCTCTGTGGTGCTCAATGCCTGAGGTGTCAAACCACCTGGGCTCCTTACACCTCTGAGCATCCAGGTGGGTGCCATAGACCCCTCATCACGTGACCCTGTCCATGCTCAGTTCTGTGTCCAGGGACTTGTTGAAGTTTATTGATTTCAAGCTGAAGAAGCAAAGAGGGCATGGAGTAAGGGAAAAGGTTGGAGCTTGGATAAGTGAAGAGGGGACAGAGAAAGGGGAGAGGCTCTTGCTGTGTGACTGCAGCTGCGCTGTGTGACTGCGACTGCGCTGTGTGACTGCGGCTGCGCTGTGTGACTGCGGCTGCGCTGTGTGACTGCGGCTGCGCTGTGTGACTGCGGCTGCGCTGTGTGACTGCGGCTGCGCTGTGTGACTGCGGCTGCGCTGTGTGACTGCGGCTGCGCTGTGTGACTGCGACTGCGCTGTGTGACTGCGGCTGCGCTGTGTGACTGCGGTCTCCCAAGTGGTGCTCTTATAGGCATGTACCTCCATGTCTGGATCATATAGGACCCTAAATGCCATGCAGTTTGCCCACAGGACAGTCCAATGAGATGGGTACCAACCCCCTCACGTGAGAAAGGAGGGACACTAAAGATGCTGTGTTACACATGTGGACACAGGCACACTTCGTTCCTGCACTAAGTGGGGTCTTACAGTTCTGGAACACAGGACTCTGATAATCCAACAAAAGCTAGAAATCTGTCAGAAGTGACCACGAGACACTCAACAACGATTTCTCTGGCATTTTATGATTGACTTATTATATGTGCTATGTTGTGTGTGTCTGTCTGTATGTATCTGTCTGTTTCTCTCTGTGTGTGTGTGTGTGTGTGTGTGTGTGTGTTTATTGCAGAGGACAGACTGTGGGGCTTGGTTTTCTCCTTGGAGAGTGTGGGTTCAGGGGATTGAACTCATGTCCTCAGGATTGGTGGCAGTATTTTTCCATGCTAACACATTGTACTGGCTCCTGAGATAGTTTTTAAACTTTTGGGAATCTCTTAACATTGTCACTTGAATTGCAGGTTGACATTCAAACCTTCTTGTTCATTGCAATAGACAGAGTGTCTGGTTCTAGGGTGGGACAGTCTGCAGGTTGTATGCTGCCCTGGGGCTCACATGTCTCATCCTCTGTGCCCACAGGAAAGCGCATTTGTCTTGGAGAAGGCATCGCCCGCAACGAATTGTTCCTTTTCTTCACCACCCTCCTCCAGAACTTCTCTTTGTCCAGTCCCGTGGATGTTAAGGACATTGACCTCAGTCCCAACAAGAGTGGTTTTGGCAAACTGCCCCCAACATATATGATCTGCTTCTTGGCCCGGTGACTGGCCCAATTACTGAGATGGCTGGGCGTTTCCACTCCTGTTGAGAATGACCCTAGTTCTCTGAGTGTGTCAGTCCGGTTGGAAACCAGGCCCTCCGTACTGCAGCTTCTCCAAAGCTCCAAGGTGTGTTCTTCTGGCCTGTGAACAGTATTGGAGAAATCAATCAAGTGCCTTTTGATGTGTGAACAGAGAGACTTCAGGAGGCCACATTTCATTCTGAGTCACTCCCATACTGCTCCAAACAGCCACTGTCCAGCTCCAGGTGCACTATGAAGTAATCTAATGGACTCTGTTTGTGATCTGAATTCTGCGTATATGGACTTGCCTAACATGTATGGCTCACATAAACACAATCATAAGGTGTGTGTGACCTTTGGTTTCTGGTGTCTTTTACTTAATCCGTATTATGTAGGTTCATATGGTGTGTGTGACCTTTGGTTTCTGGTGTCTTTTACTTAATCCGTATTATGTAGGCTCCTGACCTTTGAAGGGCACAGTAACGTACTTTCGTCATGCTCCTTCCTTAGCTTGTCCTTTCTCTGGGCAGAGGCCTCCCCAGCCCATAGAGCCTGAGCTATGCGATTCTGAACACCGACCTCGGGTTCCCTTATGATCCCACGAGAATCAAAATAATACCTTCATTACTCAGGATTCTCCAAAGGAACAGGATTGACAGAATCAATCAATCTGTCTGCCTGACTGTCTGCCTATCTGTCTATCTATCTGTCTGTCTGTCTGTCTACCTACCTATCCATCATCCCTATGTTTGTATGTATGTATCTGTCTGTTTATATGAATCTTTCTATTTATCCATCCTTTACTATCTATCTGTCTGTCTGTCTATCATCTTTCTGTGGGATTTATTAGACTGGCTTACAGTCTATGGAATGCTAGTGTATCAACGACTGTCCCATAATGAAAAGACTGAGAGCATTTGATAGTTTTCCATGCAAGAGTCTATAAGCTTCAGCTGTCCCACATGGTGCTGCAGTCCCGGGAGATGCCTGGAGAGCTGATGGTTTTCAGTCTATGTTGAAATCCAGAAGAATTTGGATTCATGCCAGACACAGCAGCAGGTTAGATGAACTTGAGTGAGAGCAGGCAGGTAGTCAAAAACCCTTTCCTTCTGGCCCTGGATCCAGTTCAGGTCAGGCTCTCTGTTTTTGCCTCTTTGTCTCCTATCTCTAGGTAGAGATAGGATGTTGTGTAAGAGTAGAATAATTTCAGTTTGTCTATACGTGTTTCTCTGTCTCTTGTCCCTGTTGCTATTCTTTCTCTGATACTGCTATGTGATCAGTGCTAAGTTCCCATATCAAAGACACAGTCCAAACTACCAAAGAATTTCAACCTAGCAGTTAAATGATGAGATTTATGGCACAACAGCCCTATTCCTGGTACCGATTTTCTGCCTTGGTTGCTTTCTGTGTCACTGTGGCTAAATATCTGCTCGGAAGCAAGCGGAAGGATACATTTATTTGGTGTCAGTTTCAGAGAGAAATGCAGGGCATTTATCAGCATGTATCAGGTGGGAAGGAGAGAAATGAAATGTAGATGAGATGTCCCCTTGAGTGACCTACTCCTTCCTGACAAGTCTGTGAACATATTAGAGATCCAGCATTCAAACACACGGACTTGTAGGAAACCCTAAACATTCACGGTCTTACCTTGGCACTTTGCGAATAGACCGATGTCATTATCATAGGAGTGGGTCCTCTATGGGAGTGTTTAGTTTCCTATTTACTGTCCCAGTCTTAGGCACAGTCCCTTGCCCCATGTCATTTTACAATGCAAATGCCTCATCACACACCAGGACTGTGTTCCCAGAAGTAGCTGCTTCCAGAAGCAGAAATGTAAAATATCTACTAATTATAACTTCCTGGTCTCTGGTACTCTGCCTCAGTAGACAACAGAGTAAGACAGTTCTAGCATCCTGCAGGTCAGAGTCTATAGGGGGCAGAGACATTGTCAGAGAGAGATGTGTCCTGGGGAAGACCAGAGAGCTTCTCATGCTGTGAGTCAGCCAGAATGAGGAAGTGGTCTCCTGTCACAGTGATCAGAGACCCAGAGGCTCCCACTCCTCCCTCCTCTACCAGGCTGAAGCCTCTCTCTCTGCCTGACTGCTGAGCCTCAACACCCTTTTCTCTGGTCTCCCTACATCTCCTTTTTCTCCCATCTGTGGCTGTCACAGACCAGAGAGTAAAATGGAAACTTTGGAGAAATCACATTGGTGATGTGGTGCAAACACACAGAGATTTGCACAGTAACATGCAACTCTACTCCTGTCACTCAAGTTACCCGAGAAACTAAGCATACAGAGTACTCCCACAATGCAAGAGTGTACTTATGAACCACAGGTGGTGGCTCACACCTTTAATCTCAATATTCAGGAGGCAGGGGCAGGCAGTTCTCAGAGTTTAAGGCATGTCTAGTCTATAGAGTAACTTCCAGAACATCCGTGGCTACACAGAGAAATCCTTTCTTGGAAAACCAACAAATACAGACACACTCACACAACCACAACACACACACACACACACACACACACATACACGCATGCACGCACACACACACACAAATCTAGAGGAACATACAAACATAATAAATGTCCCTGCACAGGACTGATGAGCAAAGGGGTTAAGACTGGGCTGGTTTAACCCCCAGAAACAGCTGACCTGACAAAGGTTAACTCTTCAATCCCAGACCGATGCCTGGGAATCCAGCATGGGACTGATCAAGACCCCCTGAATGTGGGTGTCAGTGAGAAGGCCTAGGTAATCTATTGAGCCTTGGGTAGTAGATCAACATTTATCCCGGGTATACAAATGGACTTTGGTCACCCATCCAACAATGAGAGATGCACTCTCACCCTGGACTCTTGGGGGAGGGTCTAGGCCCTGCCCTGGATGAAATGAAAGACTATGGACACCCCCATGGTGGGCCTCACCCTCCCTGGGGAAATGAGTGGATATTGGGGGGTTGGTGGGAGGGTGTGGGAGGAGGGGAAGGAAAGGGAGAGGGACCTGGAATTGACATATGAAGCAACCTTGTTTCTAATTTAAATTTAAATTTAAAAATAAAAGTAATAAAATAATTAAAAAAAGAAATGTCCCTGCACATATGCAGCACACACAGAGATCCGTGCCTGAGTCAATAAACAGACAAAACTGAGCTGACAAGTGCACACTCACCCCCAGAAGTCAAGATGCAACACTCCCGATGTCCTCTTGTCTTGTGTATCCGTTTCCTTGTCCTTGCCAACATCTATGGAATAAGGAGTGAGCAAGTCACCGTCCTCCCAAGCAGGAAGTATGGTGCTCACACTCCTGGACAGTGATGAGACAGGAGGCGGGAACGGCTGAAGTTTCTCAACTGAGTGGAGAGGCGGATTCAGCATAAAATGACCTGCTGGAGTGTGCCCTGAAGTGGACGGTGACCAGATCGGACCATGGAACCCAGTGTCCTGCTCCTCCTCGTGCTCCTTGTTGGCTTCTTGCTGCTCCTAGTCAAGGGCCACACAAATGCCCATGGCCACCTCCCACCAGGACCCCGTCCCCTGCCCCTCTTGGGGAACCTCCTGCAGATGAACAGAAGAGGCCTCCTCAACTCCTTCATGCAGGTGAGGCATGCGCAGGCCCTGTGTCCTATGGCTCAGCCCCATATTTGCTCTTGGAGATCACTCAGCTGGGTAAACAAGGGACCCCTTCCAGGTCACTGGTTCCCATGGGAAGGCTGCTCAGCAAAAGGCGAGACGGTGATTGGTGATGGATGGTGCTCAGGTCATCAGGTGTGTCCTTGCTATGTTGGAATCATGTAGGGCACTATGCTTGGAGTGTGAAAGAGGCCGGGTATTGAAGTGTGCCTAAGGGTTTACAATTTTCCTCTTTAATGCTTCTTTGTTCCATAAGAGAAAGAACAATGGCAAAGTCATCAACAGCTAGGGTTTGCTTCTGCCAGCACAGGGGATCAGCCTGCTGCGTTCTGGAACAAAGGGAAGGAGAGGCAGGTCAGGAGGTGGGGTGGTAGGGAGCGCTTATCAGTTATAAACACCACGGACCATCCAAGCAGCCGGCCCTGGTACCATCTTTATCAGTCTTCACCAGTGATATTTCATGTTCAATAACTACTTGTGTATTAACAATCAGTCAGCATACTCAACCCCACCTCCCATTTAGACAGCTGACATACTGACAACAATGCCGACTTCCTGCTACTTCTTTGTTTTTAATGTATTCTTACCTGGACCAATTCTGTATTCATATATTTTATTTGGCTTTTGATACAAGACTGTCCTTGTTAATGTCAAACTTATGATCCTCCTACAAGTTTCATATAACATCTTTGATCTGCTCTGTAGCTTGTTAGTTCATTGTTGCATAAGATTCGATGGTGTAACCCAGCCTGAAAACATAAGTAGGTCAATATGAAACTTGTAGAACTTTTTCTTAGCATTGTCTCCTAAACAACATTGGGCACTGACCATTGTCATAGCATTTCCTTTCTGTTAGGTACATTGCAATCTAGAGTAAGTTAAAGGTTCCATGGGTGGGTTATGTGCAAACATTGCACCATTCTCTTCCAGGGCTTTTAGTACCTATTCCCTGTAGATACGTAGATGGTGGCACTGTCAGATATTTTCCCAACTGTCTGTACTGTAGTCATGACTCACATTTGGGATCACTAAACAGGTGACTATCACTTCCTCTGCCATGTAACCCATTGGGTGTGTCAAGGCCATTCTCTCTGAATGTTGTCAGCATGGTTCTTGATGGAGATGCTAGAGACAGATGCCCAGACTGAATGGTAAGAGCAAGGTCCTGGATCTATATCTGAATCAGTATCCATATCTATACCTAGATCCACATCTGCTCATTTTCTTTTGAGATATGGCCTTAGGTAGCCCAGGCTGACCTCTAACTAGATAGATACCCAAACATGAATACTGGTTCTGTGGCCTCTATGTGCCCAAGGCTAGGATTATAGTCATGTGTTTACAGCCCCACCCCCCAGCTCTACTGTTCTGATATACTGATTAGAATATCCAAACCATCAGTGTAGACCCTGCATCAGTGATTAATTAACCCTTGAATTCTTAGGTCCCCAGAAGGGGAAGGGTGGCCAGAGGAGGTGTTTCTATTCATCAGTCTGTATATAAGTAAACAGTGTAAAAACAACATCTGTACTGACTAACCACAAACCTGGTGCCTTTATGCTTGGCAGTTTCGAGAAAAATATGGAGAAGTGTTCACAGTGCACCTAGGACCGAGACCTGTGGTCATGCTGTGTGGGACAGGGGCCATAAGGGAGGCTCTGGTGGACCAAGCTGAGGCTTTCTCTGGCCGGGGGACAGTTGCTGTGATTGAGCCAACTGTACAGGGATATGGTGAGATACGGCACAGGGTGGAAAGGGATGTGGTCCAGGGAGGTGAGAGGTGGAGTCCAAGCTGTGGGGAAGGACTCGGGTTCTTTGAACTCTCATTGCAAGCCTTCCATGCTGCCCTACTTTCTTAGGTGTGATCTTTGCCAATGGGGAACGCTGGAAGGTCCTTCGGCGATTCTCTGTGGCCGCCATGAGAGACTTTGGGATGGGGAAACAGAGTGTGGAGGAGCAGATGCAGGAGGAGGCCCGGTGTCTGGTGGAGGAGCTGCAGAAATCCCAGGGTGAGGCTCTGAGAGTGGGCATAGAGGAGATGGTGATACAGGGACCTGAGTTCACAGTCAAAGGAAGAGAAAGAGACACACAAGGTTAGAGAAACAGCCAGCCAGTCACCCAGAGAGGCAGACAGACAGACACACATACACACACACGCAGAGAGAGAGACAGACAGACAGACACACACAGAGAGAGAGAGAATTAGAGACAGAAAAGTGATGTGGGGTGTGTGTTTGTGTGTGTGTGTGTGTGTGTGTGTGTGTAGACTAGTATGTATAAAGGTGTGGATAGAGAAATACGCAGACAGATAAAGAAATGTGGGGTTGATTTTGTGCACAAATAACTCAGAGTCATAGATTTATCATGGTGGTCACTTTTGTTCAGAAAAAAAATCAATAGTGGATTAATTTTCTATGCCAGTTGGGCACGGCAGTGCACACTGGTCCTCTTGGAAACAAGAAAAGGTGGTCATTAATTCAAGGGAAGTCCTGTCTACGTTGTGAGGAAGAGAAGCGACCTCTAAGTCTGAAAGTGAAGCTGAGGCACCCCAAGAAAACATCTACATGGGATCAGAGACCACAGACAAGCTCAACCTGAGGGGCAACAGTGGCGCAACACTGTTGGACTAACATCAGCCCTCCAACCATCAGGGTCCATGACTGAACCTGACACACAAGGGCAGCAGGCAGCAGGTGCTGCTGAGGGCTTCTGGAACACCACAGAGTCCAGAAGTCAGAGAAGGGATGGAGGAAGACTGGCAGATGGGTGTGAATTCTCACCGCAATCCCTGAATCAATCCTGCCAACGGGGGTTAGCTACCAGCTCAGAGTCAGAACGTTGTCCTGGGAGGAGGTGCAGGTGGAGACTGACTACATACACTTTACCTCTCTATCCTAGTCCTAGTCCCAGCCATGATTAGCTGAGTTGCCTTGGTGAAGCTAGCCTCCTTTTCTGTGTGTATGAATATCACCCCCTACTCTTTACAGTATGGAGAGAACCTAAATAAAGCATGCATTTCCAAGTGAAGGGTGTAGGCTGATTGTGCATCTCACGTGCAAATTTGGTAGTAGCTGTTGCTGTTTCTTGAGTACTGAGTGATGACGACAGCTTTACAGAGATGGGGATGCAGCCAAATATTCACCTAGTTGCATGCCCCCTGACCCCTGTCCTGCATCCTCATCTTCCAGGAGCCCCCCTGGACCCCACCTTCCTCTTCCAGTGCATCACCGCCAACATCATCTGCTCCATTGTCTTTGGAGAGCGCTTTGACTACAAAGACGGCCAGTTCCTGCGCCTGCTGGACCTGTTCTATCAGACCTTCTCACTCATCAGCTCATTCTCCAGCCAGGTCAGTGTGTGGGGAGAGAGGAGCATCCAGGGCAGAGGAAGGGGAAGATGCTCTGTGGGTGCAGAAGGGCGTGTCATAGTGTGGACAAAAAGCAGAGACAACGTGGAGAGGCAAGGATGTTGAGAGACAGCTGGTAATAAGGGCAGAGACCTGAATGTAGACATACAGAGCCATCGAGACACGAGAAAATAATGGCCTGGGTGATTCAGCTGTGCGTTAGAGGACATCATGTTTCATATATGAGGCTGTGACCTCGTGCCCAGGATGTGGTGTTACCCAACACATGAATTTCCAGCATTTTGAAAGTGTATCAGAAATTTGGGGTGATTCTTGGCTACATATTGAGTTTAAAGCCAGTCTGGCATAAATGTGTCCAAAATGCAATATCCCATAATTTAAAACAAATGAAGACAAAACATCAAGGATGATTGGGAGAAAGGGCATTGAAGAGGAAAAGAGAGATATAGAGAATGTAAAACAAAGGTTAGAGACAGATTTAGAGACACTGTTCAAAAGCATGCATGTGTACAGTGTATATGTATGAGGTGTGTGTTCCTTCATGAAATCTGTGGGTCTAGGAGCACTGCTTATGTCCTGTAACCCAATAGCTCTAGGTGACCGACTGGGTTCTTCTTTCTTACAGATGTTTGAGCTCTTCTCTGGCTTCCTGAAGTACTTTCCTGGTACCCACAAACAAATCTCCAAAAACCTGCAGGAAGTCCTTGACTACATTGGCCACAGCGTGGAGAAGCACCAGGAGACCTTGGACCCCAGCAATCCAAGAGACTTCATCGACACCTACCTTCTACGCATGGAGAAGGTAAGTCCCACGTGAATGACAGAGGGGATGAATGAGGGTGAAGCCTGAGGATGTGAGCAGAGGAAATGAGGCTAGGGGATGGGAAGGAGAGACAAGAAATGGAGTGGAGGAGATGTAGAAGATTCTAGAAAATGAAGAATAGAGAATGGGAGAACATGAAATATGGAGAAAGAAGCCCGTGGAAGAAACACAGGGCAAGGAAAAAAAGCAGAAAAGACCTCAGAGGAAGAAGGATCCTGGGTCACAAACTATGATAAACTATCAGAAAGCAGTGCAGAGAGAGAAGACAGAACACACAGAAACCAGGTGACATTGTCAAGGACTGAGAAATGTCATGTGGTCCAGAGTGAGACTGAAGGACAGTGCCCAGAATGTGTGTCATCTCCCTGCAAGGCTGCAGTCACCCTGACCCTCCCTTCTCCCCTCTCTGGAACCAGGAGAAGTCCAACCCACACACGGAGTTCCATCACCAGAACCTCATGATCTCCGTGCTTACTCTCTTCTTTGCTGGCACCCAGACCAACAGCACCACGCTCCGCTATGGCTTCCTGCTCATGCTCAAGTACCCCCATGTTGCAGGTGCGCCCCCAGGCAGCCAGTTGGGGGATCTTCTAGCTCCCTTTAGTCTGTGGAGGTTTGTGTGAATAAGAGAGACCTGGGCCTCTTCCACCTGGAAATCTGAAGGCTTGGTCTGCTTCTAAACTAGGGCAGTGCTCTTGGTGGTGTGTGAATAAACACTCAGCTGACCTCTCCCCTTTTTTTACTATAATTTAAAGGTTGATCCACCCATCCTTCTATCCATCCATCCATCCATCCATCCAGTTATCCATTTTTCTATCCATCCATCTATATGCCTATTCACCCACTCATGTAGTCATCTGCCCATCTTCTGTAGATTTGTAAATTATTATTCCTTGATTCTTTCATCTCTGCCTCGTCTAAGGACACACATTTCATTCATTTATTTGGATTAATTGGCTTGTGAGTTTTATTATTTTATCAGGGCTAGTTGAGTGAGACATCTGTCATTGACTCATTGGTTCATTCATATATAAATCTCTTCATTCCTTAATCCTTCCAATAGACTTTGAATTCTCCCTTCATGTGGCCATCAATTCCTTCGTGTGTCCATTTAATCACTCACTCACTTACCTGTGACTTATCTGTCACTCAGTACACCTGCCTGTGTATTCCTATAGTGACTCGTTTATTCTTTCGCATGCTCCTTTGCTAAACTGACCATTCACTTGATTATTGGTTAGTTGTGCCCACTGATTTATTTGTGTGTGAACCATTTGTTGATTCATTAATTGATTAATATAATGAGTGAGAATGGAAGATATCCATTCAGTTTTAGTTCATTTCATTCGCTCAGCAGTCTTTCCTGTCATTCAGTGGCTCACCCATTGCTTGGCTGACTTACATACTCGCATTACTTTTAAAACAATGTGATGCTATTGTGAATATGCTTGCCCCAGCTCCTGTGTGGAGGTGCGAGGACAACTTTGTGTAGCTGGGTCTCTCCTCCACCTTCATGGACTCTGGATGTCAAAGTCAGGCTGTCTGAATGCTAGCCAAGTGCAATTACTGAATGAGCCATTTCATTGGCCCACATAGTCACCATCGTATTCATATTTAGTATTCATTTATACATGGATTAATTTACTTCCCTTTATTCCTGAGCATGTAACCTCCGATTCTTAGCCTTGATTATCTTCACATTTATTTTTGGTTAATGCACATTGTTGTTTTGCCTGCATATATGTTGGCGTGAGGCTGTCGGATTCCCTGGACCTGGAGTCACAGACAGCGTGAGGCACCATGCTGGTGCTGGGAATTGAACTCAGATCTTATAAAAGAGTGGTCAGTTCTCTTAACCATTGAACCACCTCTCTAGTGCCTTGGATTTTTAAATATAGTTTTGGTTGTGATCCTAGCTTTTAACCACTGAGCCATCACTCCAGCCCATGGATTTTTAAATATAAATTCCATGCAAAGATGTCTGTCTGTCTGTGTCTCTTTGTGTGTGTGTGTTATGTAAGAATGCAATTTATAACATTATATTTCAAATGGGGAGAATTCTTACTGTCTCCTCCCCACAGCCCTCAGTTCAGATTGACAGATGACAATAGCTCTTTGCTTTAGGCTTTCCTTTTCTGTCTTTCACAAGCAAGGTTGGAATTTTGAGAGACACTCTATGCTCTAAGCGTGACTGGGGAGGCAGGTGCCTGAGAGAAACACAGGTGTGGTGTCTAAGAGTGCACTGTGTCTTTCTCAACAGAGTCGCCTGCTCTGCACTGTTCCTAGGTTATGGGCTCTCAGAAAACAGGGTCACTGTGCATTGCCTCTGTGAAAGGGGGAGAGGCACTGTTTGTTGTCTCCCATTTCTGTGCAGAGAAAGTCCAAAAGGAGATCGATCAGGTGATCGGCTCACACCGACTCCCAACACTTGATGACCGCACCAAAATGCCATACACCGAGGCCGCCATCCAAGAGATTCAGAGATTTTCAGATCTTGCTCCAATTGGTATTCCACACAAAGTCACCAAAGACACTTTGTTCCGAGGGTACCTGCTCCCCAAGGTGAGACTGGCTGTCACTCCACATCTCTACTCCATGAGCCTCCTGCATTCTCCTTGATCCCAGGACCAGCATGGTGTTCATTTCCCAGAATTCCTGCTGTCTTAGTGATGGTTTGACTCTGCATATGTGAGTCAGGGAATGCTAACACCCTTGTATCTCATAATGTCTCCTAGGACACTGAAGTGTACCCCATCCTGAGCTCAGCTCTCCATGACCCACAGTACTTTGAACAACCAGACACCTTCAATCCTGACCACTTCCTGGATGCCAATGGGGCACTGAAGAAAATTGAAGCTTTCATGCCCTTTTCAACAGGTGAGACTCACCTGTGCTCCCTTTCCCAGTCACTAGAGGGCAGGCTCATCCTCCAGGACACAGACAAGACTAGGTCCATGTTTTGAGTCTATTCCAGCTGCTCTGCCTGAACCGTCCCATTCACCCTGGCTACAGCCCCACAAGAGACTCTTGAACTAAAGGAGCTTCCTGGTCATGAGGACTTTGGGGACGTATTTAAAAGCCTCTAAACCTGAGCAAATCATTTTCTTTTTAAGAAACAGCAGCATGGACAACTGACATCATCTATGAACACTGTCATGAGTTGGGTAGGGTATTGATGGTTGGGGAGGCATTGACTTTAGCTGCGAGCACTGGGACATGTCTTGACACGTTTGCAGTAAATACCCTGGTTTGTTAAATTTTAAGAGAGATCAAAATTACTAGCATCTGTTTGAACCAAGAAACCACCTATGATAGATAAAATCCTAAACCAGAGAAAATTCAATTAGTAGTTTAGGTAGGAGGTAAGCCATATGGCACTAGGCATGCAGATACAATTTGACTTGAGCCAACTCTACTATCCTCTTACCTGGCCATGCTGTAGTAATTGGCATCCTGGAATTGGATCACTGCTGTGTTTGACTCTGACCCAGTTACTTGCTGGAAGAATAAGCTACTTGCTGGCACAATATAATCCTACTGCTAATGAAGTGACTTTTGTTGTGTATGGGCAGCCTTATGCCAAATTGAATTCATTTTAATAATCTCTAGCCATGAAAACCTTCATTCATGTAGATTGATTCCTTATCTTTGGGAAGAAGGAAAGTCAAAGAAAGGACTCCTTAGAACTTTTTGTAGGGCTTAGTAAATGTTAGGCAGGGACTCTACCACTGAGTCATGCTCCCAGCCCCTCATTGGGGGATTCTAGGCAGGGCCTCTACCACTGAGCCATACCCTAGTCCCTCAGTGGGGGATTCTAGGCAGGGACTCTACCCCAGTCCCTCACTGGAGAATTCTAGGCAGAGGCTCTACCCCTGAGCCACACCCCCAGCCCCTCACTGGGGGATTCTAGGCAGGGGCTCTACCCCTGAGCCACACCCCCAGCCCCTCACTGGGGGATTCTAGGCAGGGGCTCTACCCCTGAGCTACACCCCCAGCCCCTCACTGGGGGATTCTAGGCAGGGACTCTACCACTAAACCATATATCCCCAGGCAAAAACTATCTAGAGTTGAGTGTCATAGTGACTTCAGTATGGGGACATGTAAAGCAGTGGGATAAAAGGGCATTTCTCCATCCCATAGTTGTAAGTTTAGAGTGCAGCAGGAATGTGGAGAATTAAGTCTAGAAACATCTAGGAGATGGAGAGATAATAGAATTGAAACGGAGATCTTAACAAAGAGAGGCGCAGTGAGACTAGAACAAAACGTACTATTGAGTGTTAAGTGTCAACATGACAGTCTGGAATCTCCTGGGAAGAGGGTTTCAGTTGAGACATTGCTTATCTTAGGATGGTCTGCGGAAGGCTTTCTTCATTGGTAATTGATGTGGGAAGACCCAGCCCATTGTGGGTGGTGTTACTCCTTGTTTGGGGTCCAGACCCACGTAAGAGACTTGAGGTCTAAGCTGAGCTCCAGGGAAGTAGGCAGCATGCTCTTCCTGTGGATGCGAGTTGACCAGTTGTCTCCAGCTCTTGTTTCCTTCACTCCTCTGGCAGGAGAGTCAGTAATCAGGATGTGTCAGTCAAAGAGATGCCCTTTCCTCAACTCTGCTGCTTTTTTTTGTCTGGAGTTTTGTCACAACAGCAGGACTGAACTCAGGACACAGGAAGACCGAGAAGGAAGAGACATTTTCTGAGAGATGGAGAGTGAAATGAGGCAGCAGAAGAAGGGGAGGGAGAAAAAGTATAAGAGCAGGAGAGAGGGGGTGGTGGGAAATGAAGAGGGAGAGGACCAGAATAAGAAATAGATCAAAGGGACATAAAGAGGAAACTACTGAACGGACAAGGGGAGGAGAGGAGTAAGAGAGAGACAGAGACAGAGACAGAGACAGAGAGAAGGGAAGGGGAAAGGGGAAGGGAAAGAGAAGAGATAAACAATAAAGAATTTAGACACCAATAAGAAGGAAAGGAAGAAAGTGAAAGAAAAGAAGTGTCTGGTGGGTAAAAAGACACAAATTGACAGCCATGATGAACAAGGGGGAAAACTTGAGCCCCAAAGTGTTAAAGTCAAAGAGACATGAACAATCTCCATCACAGCTGCAGGCTTGGGGACTTCGTGCTCAGAGTGAGATGAGCTATTAAAAGCTGCTCTGGAAAATGTGGGTTGCAAAACCAGTTCTAGGTGGACCATCTCAGAGAGCTACTCCGTGGATTTCTAAGATCGTGCCATCTAAGTTCTGCAAAGGAGGTGCCCAAGGGGTAGGGTGCTTCCCCTGAATACTCCCACGGGCACCATTTCCCAACAACTGGTGAGCACAGGTGTGGCTGGGAAATCCCTCCTCCACTGGAGGCTCCTGGCAGATTAAGAATCACTGCAGTACAGGGCAGGAGGCAGAGCCTCCGCCTGGGTTTTCAGGTTCCCACTGCTCTGTGGTGCTCCATGCCTGAGGTGGCAAGCCAACAAGGAGTCCGGTGGGTGCTGTAGACCACTCACCATGTGCCCCTGCCCATTCTCAACCGTATGGACACATGTGTTCAGGAGTTCATTCATCTAGGGCTAAGACCAGAAATGGGTGGGGAGACCCAGAACATCTTCCTCCTCCTTCCCCTCCTCTCTCGCCCTCCCTTCTTTCCTCTTCCTCCCCCACCCTTCCTTCTCCTCCTGTTGGTTTCTAAGATGGGGTCTTGCTATGCAGCCCGGGCAGTTTTGAACTCATGATCCACCTGCATCAACGTCTTACATGCTGGGATTGTAGTCACGCACCGTCATGCCTGGCTCAGTAGAATTAGTAATATCAGCCAGGAGCCAACTGAAGAATCATTACAAACATTGACTTTGTGCTCATAATAACCTTATGAGGTGGGTGTCATTGTCCTCATGAGAGAAATTAAGAATACTAACAATATCGTGTTATAAATGTATACACACACACACACCTATCCATACCCAACTCCAACATGATCTTTACTTCCTCTGGGACAACAGGTGCTTTGGAAATCCAACTCTGTCACAAGTGAATACAGGCCATCCACCTAGTATTTACACCCATTTTTTTGAGGTATGGAGGACTTTTTTATAGTCTGTTAGAACTGCAAGCTAAGAGTCAAACACAAACTTATTCATTGCAATGGGCAGAGTTGTCTGGGTTTAGGGATGGGACAGTCTGAAGGTTGTTTACTGCCCTGGGGCTCACATGTCTCATCCTCTGTGCCTACAGGAAAGCGCATGTGTCTTGGAGAAGGCATCGCCAGCAACGAATTGTTCCTTTTCTTCACCACCATCCTCCAGAACTTCTCTGTGTCCAGTCCCGTGGATCCTAAGGACATTGACATCAGTCCCAAGGAGAGTGGTGTAAGCAAAATCCCACCAAAGTACCAGATTCTCTTTCTGCCCCGCTGAATGGGCGGAGGGAAGAGGGTCAACGGATTTCAATGCTCTCACTTCTGTCTGTGGTGTCATGTTCTCCCCTATGAACGGAATTGACAAAGAAAAGGAAAAACCAGTCCAGTGCCTTTCTTGAAGTATGAACAGAGAGACTTCTGGAGACCCCAGCTTGTTCTGAGTCACATCTCTCATGCATTAACTGCCACGGGCCAGCTGATGCACACTCTGTACTCCACCATCTGTGCTAAGGGACTGCATATGGTCTCTCTGGAGTCCTCTCCATCACATTCTCATGCATTGTGTTTAGGGTCACGGTCCCCTCTACTGGAGTAGCAGACACCATGCGGCAAGTGGGGGGGGGGGAGCAAGGTGGCACCGTGAGTCCAGAGAAAACTCTGCTGTGGCAGCTCCCCTCTCGCACGCACGTTAATTGAGATGAAACTTGTGCAACAAAATTGACCAATTGTTTAGTTTAGTATCTCGAGACAGAGTCTCACGTAGCTCAGATGGCCTCCTCAAAATCCTATATGCATCCAAAGATGACTTGTACTCCAGACCTTACGTTCCTCCATTTCCCAAGTGCTGGCATTATAGGCACATGGACCTACACCCAGGTTTTAAACTGACTGTATTTTAATGTCTACATTATAATGTCTTTTCATTTATTCACTACACTGTACAATTACAGTATCTAATTCCAGGCATTTTGTCACACTTAATGCCTCCAGACCCGATCTTTGGAGAAATTCTGCTCATATCCCCTGCAGAAGCTGATTTATGCATCAATGGGTTTGCTTGACTTGCGTGTCTCATAGAAATGAAACCAACAATGTGTCATCTTTTATGGCGGGTGTCTTTTATGCTACACCATGTCTTCCAGGTTTCTGTATGTTTCTGGGTACAGCCATACACATTCCTAGGCCGTCCCCAATCTCTTCCTTGGTATCACCTTCCTGTATCTTCTCTGTACGAAAGGACCTCCTCAACCTACAACTCTGGGCTGTGGGAGTCTACTTAGATTCTATTACATTTCCCTTTAAGAACTCCAAGGATCTCATAAACACACAAAGCCATGTCTCTGCTGTGTGTGTGTGTGTGAGGGAGGTCCTTGTTGTGTTTTGTTTTGGGGTGTGGGTTGCTTGTTTGTTTGTTGAGACAGGGTCTCACTATATGGCACTGGCTGGCCTTGAACTCATTAAAAACCATCTTCCTCAGTCTCCTGAGTGGTGGGATTAAAGGTTTGTGTCACCACATCCTCTTTAAACACTGCTTAGCTTTTTGTTTTGTTTTGTTGTTTGTTGTTGTTTTAGTGTGTGTGTGTGTGTGTGTGTGTGTGTGTTGGTGTTTTGTCTGCATGTATGTCTGTACAATATATGAGTGTCTCATGCCCATGGAAACTAGAAAGGGCATCTAATCCCTTGGGACTGGAGTTACAGATGGTTGTGAATACGGGATCTGGGCATTGAACCCATGTTCCCTAGAAAATCGGGAAGAGCAGCCAGTGCTCGTAATCACTGAGACATCTCTCCATCTGTGTTTTTGTATGTAACCTGTTTATTCTCAGATACCTAGGGATTTTTCCAGAAGGTCTTTCGTTGAGAAGGTCTCCGTCACAGCCGTGCCAGGCTTGCGAAGGGTCAACATGCTGCTTTGTTCACTGCTGTATTGTAAACTCTTGGAACAACAAGTGACTAATGCCGGATGTTCTAAATATCTGCCAAGGAAGGAATAGGTAAATACATAATGAAGCGACAAAACAGGCGTGTATTCAACTCACCGTGCATGGTGCATGGCCAGACCTATCTCCAGTCTGTCTCACTTTCTCAAGATGCCCAGAATTAATCCTTGTTCCCAAAGGGTCCAGGTTTGGCACGGTTCCTCAATCCGTTTACTCTTGATCCCTCTTGTCACTTTCTGACAGAGGTGGCCAGGAGCCACACGTTCATTGGAACCAACTGAAACTCTCAGCCTCCATACACCACACTGCTGGGACCCACAGGTTCCCTTGCAGGAAATCCTGTAGTCAGAAGTGCGTGTTCCACCTGGCCCCACAGCTGTGTAGCCCCAAACAAACACATAGAGACTTAGATTAATTAGAAACTGTTTGGCCGATGGCTTGGGCTTCTTACTGGCTAGCTCTCTCTTAATTACTAACCCATAACTACTAACCTATGTATTTACACATGGTCTTATCTTATTGGAGAACACCCGGCATCCTATCTTTCCTATCTCTCTCTCTGGTGGTTTCTCTCTCCTTCCTCTCCCCAGAGTTCTTGTCCGGAATCCCGCCTATACCTCCTGCCTGGCTACTGGCCAATCAGTGTTTTATTCATCAGCCAACGAGAGGAACACACATACAGAACTTTTGTTTAACATCCACAATATGATGACATTGCCACTCTGGCACTGGCCAATGGGTAGCTGGCTTTCAGCCTTAAAGGCAAGATACTAAATTTCTGCCTGGGCTCCTTGTAGCGCAGGAGTTACTAGGAGCTTTGTCGAGGTAGATTCCTGGCACACCGTCCTCCACCAGTCACAGAAATAAAACAACAGAGAAGGCTGCCCTTCAAGAAAAATAAGGGAATGTAAGAGGGAGAGCCATAAAGCTCCGGGTTCTCCTTTTTAAAATTGCCTTTTTACTTTTCGAGATTGTATTTGTATCATTTACACCCTTCCCTATTCTCCCTCCAAACCCTCCCATGTGCCCCCCTTGTTCAATTTTTTTCATTAATTGTTGTTACTTGCATATGTTTATGCATACACACACATATATACACACACATATATATATATTTCTAAATACATAACTCCAACCTTCTCTGTCTGTATAATGTCGCTTGTCTGTATGTGCTCAGGACTGGCCATTTGGCATTGGATGACTTGGTGTGCTCTTCCGTGGGAAGGCTACTTCTCCAGCTTCAGCGTTCCTCAGCTGCCTGTAGCTCTTCCTGCAGGGCTGAGACGTGTGGGTTTCCCCCCTTCCGCTATGGCACATCTGCTGATGTCCTTGTTCATGTTGGTGAGGCAGTATAGGTGTAGCTTCTGACGTTCCTTGGAGACACAATTTCACAGCAAGCTCCTCAAACCTCTGACTCTTAGGGTGTCCCCACCCCATCTTCCACAGTGTCCCCATGGCTTCTCCTTCTCAGTCTCCCTCCTGGGCATCTGGCTAGTCTGAACCTGGGGTGGCTCCAGCTCAAGGGGCCGTCTCTCTCAGGGACAGTGGCTTCTGCCTTTGCTGGAAACCACCTTCCAAACAGTTCCCACAAGCGTATGCAAATGCTTTCAAGGGGTGAGATGTGGAGGGGGTAGGGGTGAGGAGGCCGGAGGTAGAGATCGTGGCGAGGAGGCCGGAAGTAGAGATCGGGGTGAGGAGGCAGGAGGTGAAGGAAGGAAGAGATCCTCAGGCAACAAGGAGTTGCAAGTCCGTGGTTCAACAGGTGTCTCCAGGTCAGGTTGGGAATTTTCTTCCAGCCACGGTGTGGCAATAGAGAAGCTTCTAGAATTCTTAAGAGAACACGCAGTGGGAAGGGAGGGAGGGAGATGGGTTCTGGTAGAGGTCTCCACTGTGGAGAGCAGCACTTGCATGTGTGGAGTCTGTGAAACTCACGAGTCCAAGGCTGCGAAATTCTCAGCATAGCTGGGAGCAGGGCCCTCAGCGAATGGTATGTGAGAGATGGTCATGAGTTTGAAACCACAGAGCTCACGTTGGGATTCTTCCCTGACGAGACCCAGACACCATCAGAGAGAATGATCCAGTGAGAGGAAGGACCCATCACTAGAGGCAGCTTTTGAGGTCTGGGCCTTGACTCTGCGGCTGAGGGGGAGATACCGTCACAGTCTACGTGGGACCCCAGTATATTCTATTCCTGAGTGTATGTGAGCCGATACAGGAAGCCCTCGTGGGTCGTGCAGGCACTTTCCCTGGATACGGTCTAGCATTGCCATTTGTCCCGTCTTCCAGAAAAGCAGTGAGTGGGGGCACAGGACCTGTAGCTGCAGAAGGCAAACTAATGTGAGTCCTGGTGACCTTCCTGCTGTGCCAGGCCAGTCAAGTTTGCTCCTCAGCGGTGGAAAGCCTTGGGAGGCCCTTGAGCATGTCTGTCTGAGGGCCATGAAGGGTTTGGGATGGAGAAATGGAGTGCGGAGCAGTGAATCAGGAGGAAGATTGAGTTTGGTGGAGGAGCTTCAGAGTCTGGGCAAAGAGTTGGCAGGGGCACGGAGACAGAGAAGAGGGCTGGTAAAGACCCAGGCTGAGAAATACAGACAGCTGCTGTGACCCATTGCCTGTGGCTTTTCCTGTTGTTCCCATCCCTTCAGGGATGTCCTCTGCGCCTAGGGAGGGGGTGTGTGATAGAGATGTCCCATTTAGGGCTGAGCACTCCTCAGTCTCTTATTTTCTGCATCTCAGCCATTTGTCTGTCACTGTCAATTACCATCTACTACAAAACTTAAGCATCTCTTATCTATCCATCATCTATCTATTATCTGTCTCCATCCATCCATCTATCTATCTATCCATCATCTATTATCTGTCTCCATCCATCCATCCATCTATCTATCTATCCATCATCTATTATCTGTCTCTATCCATCTATCTATCTATCTATCATCTATCTATTTACTTACTCATTGTTATTGTTGCTGGTTTGTTTTGTTGAGGCATGGCCTCTCTACATAGCCCTGACTGTTCTGGAACTCCCACTGTAGACAAGACTGGTCTCTGACTCACAGAGATCCACCTGCCTCTGCCTCCCAATTACTGGGATTGAAGCAGTGGGCCACCATGACTAGCTAAGAAGCATCTCTCATGGCAGAGGGGAGACACTCTCATATGGGACTATACAAACAAATCTTTAGGAGTGGGTATAATACTATATCCAGTCAGAAGAACAGTGGTAGGTTCTCTCCTGGGCTCTTGGCATTCTTAATGGTGGTAGGCATGGGCTCTATCTTATGAAGTGGACCTTAAATCCAACCCAGAAAGTGTTCCAACCCTCCCAGCCACTCCCATGGCATTAGCTTTCCTGTTGTGCAGTTGGCATGTCTTTCCAGGCTGGTCATGGCTGTTGCACACAGATTCACAGCTGAGTAAGACTGATGATGACATTTCTCCTCCAGCAATGTGCACAGTAGTACCTCCGTCTGGTCAGTGTGCGTGAGGCATCCTGGTCAGTTCATACCAGCTTGATTCCTCCACGCTCTACGACGCTAATGTGGAGTGTCTTCAGCAGTAGGGTCTTACCATCCATCAAGCCTGGAGATTAACCAAGAGCAGCGGCAATAGCCTGCAATGTTTGGGGGTCTGTGGGACCCTTCTGGTCAAAGACTCAGAGAGATAACCCAATCTCATCACTTGGTGACATGGTTAGTGTTCTATTTCTGTGAGAAGACACCATGGCAAAAATTATAAAACATTTAATTGGACTGGCTTACAGTTTCAGGGGTTTAGTCCGTTATTATCATGGCGGGGGGCATGGTGACTCACAGGCAGACAGAGTAGCTGAGAGTTCTGCATCAGATCTGAAACTCTGGGCCTGGCATGGGCTTGTAAAACCTCAAGGCCATACTTCCTCCAACAAGGCTATACCTCCTAATCTTTTCAAATAGTGCCGCTTCTGTAGAGTTCAAATACTTGAGCCTACGGGGCCATTCCTATTCAAACTTAGCTTTTTATTTGATAGCCCGTGGTAGGGGCGTCATCTCCACTTAAGTGCTTTAGAAATGTATATATACTTCAGAAAGCTTCCTCTACACTGGTTGTGGCTTTTCTGGAGGCCTGCAGTGTTAATCGTACCTCTGTGTACCTCCTCCGTCCCCTGCTCTGACAGACCCCACTTGGCTGTAATCCTCCATGCTCCACTCCTCTGCAGTCTGCCACCACGCAGCCTGCGATGTCTCCACTGTCAGAGTCTGTGCTGCCTGTAAGCGGGGTCCTCAGATGGTAGGGTCCGCGACAGCAGATGGACTGTGCTACTTCATGAGGTGCAGTGACTGACAATGTGTTCCGGAAGTGAGGGCTTAGGTCAGCAGTTGAGCAGACAGACATGAGTGAGGTGCGCTGCTCTTTGATGCCCCCTGGTGGCAGGAACTGGGGTTTGCGGGAGAGCATTGGGTAGCCCAGAGGCAGAGGTGAAGAGATTTTTAAAGCAAAGGAGGGAAGGAATCCACGGAAGCCCCTCAGCTCCTTGATTTTCGCTCTTGATTGCGTAAAGTCTTCTCTATCCAGCCTAACGCTGTTCCCAGATCCCTCGGGACTGACCCCACCACGGCTGGCCGAGGAAGAAACCTGTAGGATTTCAGGGCTGAGAAACACTTCCATGGGCTCAGTGTTGGCACCTCCATTGCCATTAGCAATTCGGGGCTGGAGAGACAGCTCAGAAGGGAACCCTTGCTGCTCCGGAAGGGGACTGGAATTTAGTTCTCTGTACCCATGCTGGGCCGCTGGTACTGCCAGCAAGTAGAACTGCCGGGGATCTGGGCCCTCAACAAAGCAAGACCAAAAGAAGGAGGAAAAGGAGAGGGAAGGAGGGAAGAGGGTGGGGGAGGCTGGGATGATGGCGATGCTGGGGATTAGGTCATCTGTGGTGCAAGCGTGAGGACCTGACATGAAAACAAATCAATAAATAAAACAGCGCCTGCAGCGCGCACGCGTGCGCGCGCGCGCACACACACACACACACACATCACTCCACATACACGCTCACCGTGAACACCACACACAGCACGCGGCACGCACACACCACATATACCACATATATACACACAGCACACAACACAATCACCACACACAACACACAACACACAACATACACATACACCACACCCACTCACACCACACACACCAAGCACATCACACATACACACACCACACACAGACACCATACACAGACACACACCACATACTACACACACATACACACATCAGACAATCACATACACACACATATATATACACGCACATACTACACATACACACACACCACAACATCACACTGACACACACACACCACACCACACATGCACGCATACACAACACACACCCTACGCATGCACAGAGACACACATTGTCACACACAAATAAAAGTAAAATTTAGTAAAAATCTAGAGAATACTTTATAGTAAAAAGGAATTCAACGAAGATGAATTTATTAGATTAAAAAAAAAGCTATCAACCCTCATGCACCTGTCTGTTGTTCACAACAGATCACTCTATAATTCTGGTGTTTATAGAACATTTTGTGGTTTTAAAAGAGCTGAGAAGTTTACAAAGCCCTTTAAACTTTACAGTTCTAGATTATGCACAATACTGGATTCTTATAAATACCATGTGGCTTATAAAGTGTCTTACAAGTGACAAAGAACTTTTGTTTGCATAATTCCTTTGACAGCATTCATTCTTATAAAGAGATTTTCTATTTCACAAAGTAAATGTTTTGTTAATTCTTTCGTAATGTTCACAAAGAAGCTGCCATGAATAAAGGGCTTTATTTTGCCCACAAAGCACATTAAACAGAAAACCACTTGACCATAGCCTTGAAGGGAGGGAATTTTTTTCTTCCAACATTGATTGCACATGTTTCCAAATGTCCACTAGGGGGCAGGCAGGCAAGATGCTAAACGTAGGATTTGGCAGTTAAACCAATGAGACACTGTTCCAGTCGCAATTCTGTTGCCATGATAAAACGCCCTGGCAAACAGCAACACAGCACAGGAATGGTTTATTCTTCACACTATTCCAGGTTTCATTCCCTGATGGAGGGGAAATCAAGGCAGGCACTTCAAACAGGTTTACATCCCATCCACAGTCAATAGCAGGAAGAAACGAACACACTCACCCTTGCTCTCTTGCTCGTGCTTAGCTGACTTTCTCTAGGCTTGTGTGGTCCAGGTCCCCAATCCAGGGAGCGGTGCTGTCACAGTGGGCTGGGTCTTGCTGTGTCAGTTAACAACCAGGATACTCCCCACCCCAAAGAACCACCCAGTATAGACTCTCCCTCACTCAGCGATTCTACCAAGGAGACCCTGTCTCAAAACAAAACAAGCAAACAAAATAACCTGTCACATCCCTGGGTCCCTGGAAAATTTGCTATGGAGACGTAAATAAAGACAGAGCTGGGGTGTGTAAGTCAGGCTGTCCTAAAATGCCGCTGCCTCATACTCCTGGCTGCTAGTATTATATACAAGCCTGAGCTACCCGACTGGGCTTGGCGTGACCTTAAACTTTGCGGAATAGGTAAGATGGCAGTGGCACCTCAGGCCACATTCTCTTGGCCTCAGAACCTGCATTGCTGTCTCCAGAATCCTTTCTTCCCTCAGTTACTCTTTGAGTTCAAGGGATTGCCCTGCAGGGGAGCCCCAGCCCCGGGAGAACCCCAGAGGAGCTCAGGCCATCCATTCTCATCTTTTCACCACTATAGCGACAACAGCTGAGACAAGTGACTCACACAGAGAAAAGTTCACTTAAGATCACAGGTTTGAAGGCCCCACTCTGAGCAGATGGACCCTCGCTGCGGACCCTTGCTGTGGACCCCTCGCTGTGGACCCCTCGCTGCGGACCCCTCGCTGCGGACCCTCTGTTATAGAGCAGTCAGTGGTGGGACATTTGGAGCAGCAAATAGCTTGCTTCGTGAACAGGAAACAGAAAGAAGGGAGGGACAGGGGTACCCAAAGCTTCTTCAAAAATAACCCCTGGACTAAGGGCATCTCACAAGGCACCTCCTTTCCAAAAAGTTCCACCATCTCCAGTTAGGGTCATGCAGAGGATCAAGTTAATATATAAACCTATAGGGGAAATTCAACTCTCCCCACCCTCTAAAAACCTCACTGTCACGCACCCAGTTGCTATTTCTCTTGCCCTTCGTAGGCTTTGGGGAAGACGGGAAGACATTGGAATCTAGGAGAAGTAGAAACTGGGTAAGAGAGGCGTCTCTCAGGGTAGGGGTGTTTGCTATGCAAGCATGAGGACCTGAGTTCAAATCCACATCATTCATGCACATATCTGGGTGTGGCCATGTGACCATAACCCTAGTAACTGGTAGGGGGAGCAGAAACAGGGGCATTACTTTGGGCGTCTTCAATGGGAGACACTGTTTGAAGTGAACAAAGGGGAGAATGATAGCCTCTGCATATGTATGATGCACGTGTCTCTCTCTCTCTCTCTCTCTCTCATGCACACACACACACACACACACACACACACACACACACACAAATTGTTCAAAATTATTACCCTAACCGTTGGTGCCTGTCCTACCTTGCTTTTCTGTGGAGACCTCAATGAACACAGCTCTTTTCCTTTATGGTGCTGTGGATAGAATGAATCCAGGACCATGAGAATACTAGAAAGGTGCTCTACCACTGAGTCACACCCCAGCCCCTCACTGGGGGATTCTAGGCAGGGGCTCTACCACTGAGTCACACCCCAGCCCCTCACTGGGGGATTCTAGGCAGGGGCTCTACCACTGAGTCACACCCCAGTCCCTCACTGGGGGATTCTAGGCAGGGGCTCTACCACTGAGCCACACTCCAGCCCCTCACTGGGGAATTCTAGGCAGGGGCTCTACCACT